ATAACCCCGACGGCACTGATCCGGGATTTGCACAAGGGCTAAACGGCACCCGGGCGATTCTATCGTCGGCAAGTCAGGCGACGCCGCACACGCCGCGACGCGGCAATCCCGGAGTTGCATTACCGTACTCCCGAGTTGTCATTGGAGCAACGGCCACAGCAAGCTGTGCCTCTTTCAAATTGTTAAAGGGATCGTCGACCCTTTAACAATTTGAACGCCACGCAACAAAACTCGTACGCGGCGGCCGCCACGCCGCCTCGCTCCGCCCACCGGCGCGACGACCCGACGATAGAATCACCACACACCCGGGCTAAACCGCGTTAGCGGTGCCCCTTACCGCTGCCCTACCTCGGCCCAGAGCTCTGTATAAAGAAGTGAAATCTAATTAGTAAACTGATTAGTACTGATTCAGGGGTCCATCATCACTCGCAGCCTCAATGGCACCGATTTACTCACTGAACTCGATCCTGACAACAAGAAGACCGGTTGGTATCTACTAGAAACCAACTACGATCAAGACCTGCCGGTAAGTTAGAAGAATTTGGTCGCGAAATAGGATTTTGTATGACCTGAACGAGTGAAAATCTTCCAGCCTCTATACCTTGATGATCGTCGGACACCCGGAAACAACTGTATGCAAAAGCTTGGACAGAAAAATGTCAACTTCCAGGTATGACATTACAGTTTGGAAATTTTTTCTTGAGGGCACGGTGCCCGATCTACTGAACCGACCTATCCCATGAGCTGTGAGGCACCCTAGTCCGCAACCGCAGAGCCTGTACCACTTTTGGGACTTGAAATTGCGTCCTAAAGCCGCGCTCCACATTCAAAAATGGTCAGTTGTGCAGCACAAACACTAATGACAAGATGGTGGATAGCACACCCATAATACATCAAAAACCTCATGCCGAACCGCGTTTGTGCGTGCATAACGCGAAGGAAGGGTGTGGTCGGATGTGTTCCCATTCACTGCTGTCGGCTCTTTCTCCTTATCACCTCACTCTCACCATTTCTAATAGAAAGAGAGAGCTGGTAGCGGAAAGCTGCACCACAAGAATGCCTTCAGAAATGAAAGTTTGGCGTGGATGAGCCCGACAGGCGGGGCCGTGGCCTCGTCGCGAGCGGGCCGCGCTTTCATCACGTATTGAACTGTGAAGGTAGCCTGCTTTAGCAGTTATGGGGTGCGTTTGCACACGCCGCAATCTCACGACGCTTAATCCAGCTGCTTGCTACCCTGCTACTTCCCTAGACCCCACTTCCGGTCGCTGGTCGCTGGTAGACGCTGGCTGACGCAGAATCGATACCTGTGCTTCCCTAGTCCTAGAGAGACCCTGGCAGACGCTAGTGGTCGCTGACGCAGAGTATAAACGCAGCTTCTGTGTTTCCTCGACGTAAAACTCGCTCGTGACGAGCGTCTCCTAGGTCCCTAGAGTACTCTACCAACTCATGATCTGCCCCATTTTGCCCATACAACCCCACCTAACCTCGCCAGTCCTATGTACACCATTCCACCTACCTCGCCAGTCCCTAGTAGTAACAAGTAACAGCTTTATAGAAACGGAATGTTCTATTTCAGGGTATTTTCAACGTTCTATCGTCGCGTACTAATCTCAACAAATTGACCACCTATACCGTGCTAATGGAAGTGGAAAATGGTCGTTTTGAAACGATCATGCAGTCCTGTCCCGGCTATTGTTGGCCATTCTGAGCGCATTCGCAACATTTTTCACTAACTTGTCTAGTCGCTGCTACACCATCGATCGCTTGACAAGATTTTGGATAGTGCTCTTCTTTGTACTGTACGATAATAAACAGTTGCAGCAAATATGTACATTCTGTTAGGCATATGTCGTACATCGCGACTTTAGCGATTCAGTCCGTCGCTGACCATGAGCCTGTTCCCGCTATACTCGGTTCTCTTTGTGGTGACGAAGTTACCGGGGATGATGGGTGCTTCGGCAAGGTGGAGCATCGTTCCAGTATACTTGAAACATGTTCAGGTCCAGGGACATAGGCGATTGTAGATAAATAGGTGAGAGAAAAAAAAACAGGAGCAAGAAAATAGTGGGGGGGGGCATGGGGGGAAACGACGGAAAGGCAACAAAAAGGCAGGAGAAGGGAACAAGATATATCGCATGACCGAAGGGTGCAAAAAAAAAGGGAAACAGAAACGAGAGAGAACAGGAAAATGAAACGGCCCGCGATTCAGTCGAACTTTGGGCGTAATCTATAGAACTACTCAGATGCTTTTGTATTCTTTCCCCTTTAACTAGGCGCAGCTAAAGTCATGGCGATAAAACGCCTAGGTGATGTTGTAGAAATGTAGAAGAAAATTCGCCAAGTGAACCGTCTATGAGGAGAAAATGCCGTTGGAAGCGCATTCATCAAGCCTCAAACAACTGTAGAGGTAAAAGACCGAAAAGACCGCGCGCTGGGACGATTCCCGTCGGCTGATTCCCAGTAATGAACCTTATGACTCTACAAGAGACACTGAATGCACTCCATGATACTTGCCCGGAGCATTACTTTTGGCTGGAAGGCCGACTTTGGAGGCGGAGTCTGGAGGCGGAGTCACTGGAAAAAGGGATGTACCACTGAAGCAACTTTGCGCCTTAATTCCTTTACCGTACAACTTTCCGCCGCGAAACTGGCACAGGGTTGTCCACTCCGGACCGCACTACCTTCCCACATAACCTCTTGCATTTTCATAGGTCATCGCGGACCGTTTCTTCAAGAGAGATATAAAACGGATGATTTTATTTTTTGATCGATTTTTCCAACGTAATTGGCATAGAACAATTCAACATTTATTAAATGATTCGATAAGGAAAGCTATAGTAAAAAGATGAAAACTACTGGTTGTTTCCAAAGCTTCCACAATGCTTTAGGACTCTTTGGGTATGTCAGGAGTGTGTCGTGTTGTATAATAGTTACAAAGGCCGGTCTGACTAGACTGGGAGGTCTTTTCCTCGGACCTCTTTTTTTGGCAATGGTCTTATCAGCTGCTCGATAATGATAATGTCATTTCGTAGACAACGGTCAAAACACTGATAGCCAACGGTTATGTACAGATAACAAGTAATCACCACTTCCTTTCCCCTGCGGTACCATCGATAATGGAATATCCTTCAGAAGTGTGGACTTTTTGTCTTGAAAAGCCTACGTTCCGTGGAATTGTGTTTGACGCTTCAACGGGACTGGAACGAACTGGACACTTGCAATAACCAGCATCTTCCCCTGGAGTTCCCCGTGCTCCAGGTTGACCAGGAGGACCCGTACTACCTGCAACACCTGGCTTTCCTGCTGGACCTGGTGGTCCGGCTGGCCCTTGTGCAGACACTGCTGACGGAAGTCCTGGTGGTCCCCGAGCACCTGATGGCCCTTGGGGTCCAGGTGGTCCAGGCAGCCCCGGTAGCGCCATCCCTCTTGTGGCACTAGATCCCGGTTTCCCTGGCGGTCCAGGCTGTCCAGACGAACCGGGGACTCCTGGATTCCCAGGAGGTCCAGGCGGTCCTGGTGCACCTGATTTCGCCCCATAGGCTGCCGTTCCAGGGAGGCCATCCCTACCTCGTGGACCTGGAGGTCCGTCGGGACCGTGTGGTCCCGGTGGTCCCATTGGACACACTATGCATGGACTACCGTCACCGATGGCGAAAATCAATGATTTTCCGTCAATACCAGGACGACCTGGCTCTCCAGGAGCGCCCTGTTGGCCAGGTGGCCCTTGTGGTCCAGGAGGACCAGGAGGTCCTGCAGGACATGGTTTCGGTTTACCACATGGACATTTGGACGAACGCTTTGTTCTGTAAGAATTCGTTCCGCCTTGGTCACGTAGCGTCGGCCGCATCTCGTTCCAGGCCGAGTTCGCCAGTTCCTGAAAAAAAAACGCAACTTCAGTTGGTCAACTGTTGGAAAACTGTCATACAGGGCATATCACCATGGAAAATTCTCCCTCAAAAGGTTTTTCACTGGAATGATGTGCCCTCCTGTTGAAAGATGTACCTTGAAATCTGCTAGTTGTTCCATAGTGATGTCATAGAAATCATTGATGTCGTTAATGAGATAAATAGCGAATCCTATACAAAATACCGTAGCTATGGCAGTTAAACATGCAGTTCCAGCGATCACATTTGTCGCCGTCATGTTGCAGCTTTCTGCAAAATTGAAATGTTCATCGTAACGACAGTAGTGATTCATAGCTGGACTGGCAACGTTCCCTTGAATTTTGTAGGCATCATCCCCTGGGTGGGGTAATGAGCACCAGCAGGACTTGCTTGATGCCGCGCCCACCCTTATGAGATGGTAAACTTGTCCGTTTCCGCCCATGCGGACTGGAGTATACCTTTGATGGCCCTGTAGCAGCAAACCTTATAGAAACTCGGGTCCCCATCGAAATAGCACCAGCGATTTCCCGGAAACAGTCACCTGGGAGAAGTTTGTCCTCTCCATTTATAGAATACACTATATTAGTTCATATTCCTATTTAAAGGCATAAGGCACGATAACTTGGTGCAAGGCAGAGTAGCATAAAACGGAAGCACTACTGCCAAGCAGCTTGTGGGGTCATAAGGTTCATTATGAGGAGTCGCGAGTCATTATGACTGTCTTGTCTCAGCACAAGGTCTTTCTTCTGCCTTTGTACAGTTTGCCATGAGGCTTGAGGATCTTATTAGAGGCACAGTTCATGAGCTTGATGGATCTTAATTTAGAGGCGTTTCTCGGCCGTTTCCTTACTGGCCAATTTGCTCTGACTGCGACAACACTATGCCATATTGCATCTTTTTCGGATCGTGCCCACCGAAAAAGTAGAAGAGGGCGCCTGTAGTGAGAATACCGAAAAAAAGCAAAGATAAAGCGGCGAAAAGCAGTTGGACGCGGGGCAATTGGACGAATCATTTTGGAACGAAGTTTCCGTTGGTGACGTGGCCAGTAACCTCCTTCAGATGGGACTCAGTTCCACATATTGTGTTCATATATCGGTGTGGCAACGCTTCAGTACCAAATTGGTACTTCATAATGAAGGGCGAGAAGAGTTCAAGCGTCGGATGCTATCTGTCCATTTGGTGGGCGTTCGGGTCGGGCGGTGTAGCACCCTGATAGGCAGTTTGCACGATAAATCGCTACCACAAGCACAAGTGTAGGATTTGTACAACTGCTTAACAAGTATTGTTGTCCGTGACCTCGGACAGGCGCTGCGTGAAGCCTTTTCCAAGGAGGGTACCCCCCTATAACGCCCTATTGAGCAACAACTTTACGTCCCAAACGCCTTCCTTGCCCGCCCGCCCACAAACGGACGACCGTTTTCTGACGCTCGTATTCATTCATTTGCTAAGCAAATTATGAAGCGAAAGGGATTGGTATGAAGCGGCCGTGATGCTGCATGCATACATGGGTACACATATGCAGCCGTATCCAGTAGCGGTGATTGGCAAGATGCGTACGGGAAACTCGTCCGAAATCGATTTACAAGTCACTGAGAACGGAGGCTTTTTCTTCGCCGGATTTTGACCGTTTCACTCCGTTCTTTCGCCACATTCCCCACTATATAGCAGCGCCCTACTAGCATTTATGGGCTAAGTTGGGAAAGCATAGTGCTAACTGCCTAGAACGCTATAATGGCGGTCGCTTGCTGCCCAAAAGACATAACCGGAAATCAGCCGCGCAATCCCTGCTCGAGATCAACATGGTAGGTGATATGAGGCCGTCAGTGATAACGTTTATTATTGTGCCTCAGATAGCAAGCGATTTTGCTGCTGCAAAAGACATATCTTACACTCACTTGCATCGCGGTCTTGCCAGGTGAATGCGAGGTGATGGATTGGTTGAAGCTGCTAGTAGCGTGTCACTTTCCCTTTCTCGCTTACAAGCTGCACGGCGAAGAGTAGTTAGAAGGTAGTTTGTAGCTGCAATGCCGATGTGGTGACTCCGCACCCGCAGGCAAACACGCAGGCACGCCAACGCCGCGCGCATACTGAGCTAATAACCCTAGCACAACCAAGTTAGCTACTTGTCCGCCGCTCTTTTGTTTGCCTATGGAGCCTCTTGTTCTCTAGTATATTTCGTGAAGTGGTTCGCGAAGTTCAGTACTGAAGAGAACAGTATGGAAAATCAGTCGCGCTCAGTTCGATTCTCCTCGTCGCGCGAATCGTTCATGAGAACAAGCTGATTTGTTCGCATATGCTCCCTCCTTGAAATCCGCGATGACCTATGAAAATGAAAAGATTGGCATGGTAACGTGAAGGGCGATCCGTAAGTGAACAACCGCTCAAAAAATATTTCGTCTGTGAGAGATGTAAAGGTGAGGCGCTGAGGCGCTAGGTGTATTTCTAATGCGCACCTCCCTTTCTTAAGTGACTCAGCCCTCACATTTCCTCCAAAGTCCGTGCTCACCACGGCTTAATAAGGGAAGCTCGTATTTGGCCGCCTTGTGGGGTCATAAGTTCATTATGATGAGTCAGCTGACTGGACTCGTCACAACATGCGGTCACTTTGCCTTGTACTCGCACAGTTGCATGAGGCTAGAGGGATCTTATTAGAAGCGTTTTTAGTGTTTCCTTCTGCATTTTCTCTTTACTGACGATTTACCTAGCAACTTCTCCGACATTTCCACTCCACTACATACGCTTCCTATAGTGGACATGCCTATACCGATTTTTTGAATTAAGAAGTGGCACCATATTGACGCGAAATGGCACGAGCGCCAAAAGCGTTTGTCGAAGAGAGCACCAGGAGAACCCCCCCATGAGCAATACTCATGCAAAAAAAGACTTTTTGAGTCTTTGGGGTTGTAACAGTTGAGTAGTGCCCAATATCCTTTTTCTAAACCTGAGACGAGATAGTTAAGGCACTGGAACCGTGGCACATCCTGTCGCTGAGGACAATTTTCGCAAAGTACCATCCCCCCTCAAAAAATTCCCTCTGTTAGCACCCTCATAGCATCCCCTCCGTATCCTATCTACCACTTTGAAAATCAAATTTTCCCAACTTCCGACGACTTTCTCGGAGTTTTCCCAAGAAGTGTTCCTTATTTTCCCAAAAACTGCTGTGGAGCGGGTGCTGAAGGGGTGGTATATTGCCCATGAAACGGGGAAAGCGAGGAAAGTGTTAACGAGCGAATACCTTGTCCTGAAAGTCAAATACGACACCCCCCCCCCTCATGGGGATCATCAGCGTACGACATGCCCCGAAATATTAAGGTGAGTTGGCTGTTCTAGAGATGCTTGTTCTCTTGTTTTAGCACTAATGTGTCCTCACTATAGTCCACTCTGTTTCAAAAACTTTTTGTCTTATCCCTGATGCGCAGCCAAACATTTTAATGCGCAACATCCTGGTCAATGTGAAACACGTCTTTGGCCCGCTCCTCGTCTCGCGTGAACTTGTGGGGTAATGTGGTGGGATTAGGTACGGATAGTTCATTCGTTTGCTGAAACTGAAAATTTACTATTTCTGTAATATCAGGCAGAATAATATGTGTATTCTGTGGAAGAAACCCTGCATAACAAAAATATGCAAAATTTGTCAAGCTTCGAGGTCCTCCTGTTTCCAGTGGCGAATGAATATCGGCAATATACCACGAAAATGGAGCAAAAACGAGGTTACTATTTTGTGAACATATGCGAAACGTCTAAAAAGTAATCCTGAGAAAGGCTGCGTAAATGGCTCGAATTTATGCGATTGACGAGTGGGTCGCACACCCATTTCGCAATACCTCAACTGTTGGTTCCAGGAGTGGACCGGTGGCAATCTTCCTACCCCCCCCCCTCCCTCTGCCCTCCCCCAGCTTGACTGCCGCTGTCGTTTGAGGAAAAATTGAAATTTTCAAACGGGAAAAATGATGGTAAGATAAAGTGAGTGGAGAGGCGGGAAGGAGGGGGATGAAGGGGATCTTACCAGGTAAGGAAGTTCCGCGGATCAAATATTGCACCCCTAGAATTCTCGGACGTTTTTCAACTGTCTGGGTGTGTTAATTCAGCCCTGCTGCAGCATCGAAGGCCTTTCGTTTTGAGCAGCGCGGCTTCGTTTTCACAGCCTCGTCCCAACGGTTTATTCATCAATCACGCTTGCCAAAGTCCTCATTTTCATAGCTTCTGTACAAGGAGTCTTTTCAATGCCCCTTTCCGAAGTTATTAGCGTCGAATATTAAATGTGAAAATGCAGAATATGTAAATTTAAATATAAATATTGATGTCATTGGCTACAAATTTCACTATTTCAAGGCGCTCTATGATTGGTGGGGGCAATTTGCACGTTTGCTAATTCATGTTAACCAACAGATCTCGTTTTGTCGAGACCTGTAAACACTTGTAGAACTGCAAAATGGCACAAGTGAGTCACTTTGGCTGCGAAAATTCACAAGTCTTCACAAGATGGCCTGTACAGGCTTCACCGTGTAATCCCACCTGTTGCCCTCACCGGGCCGAATTGCAAGCTCCCTTTCACTCATTAGCCTTTCTTTTATTATTTTGCTTGCCTTGTTATTGTTTTAGAAGTAGCTATTGTCAAATAAAGACAGTCAGTAAACTATATTAGACTCCGCCCACAACTAGTGCAGCATTACTTCGTTGTGATAAGTGAAAGTAAAATGAAGTGATTTTATAAAAATTGAAAACTCACTGGGGGTGAAAACAGAGATGATGATGTTGAGCGTTCTTCTCCTGCTCCTCCTCCTATATAGGTGTTTGGGATGCTGATAACACAATGTACAACGCTTCTAACGGAATCCTTTTTTCTTCCCGGACACACCACCCCCCGACTCCGCCCCCATACCTGCCAATTTGTCTATGTTTCAAAGAAGACGTGGACTCATTTTACAACTAGTTTAAGAGATTAATATCGTCTAACATTAGGCAACAATTACCCGAAATGAAACGTGTAAAATTCAAAAAATAGTCGCTAGAAAAAAAAAACTATCAGCAAAAACTGCGTGAGAGGCAGCATTGACTTTAAAACGGTTGTCTCCAAGTTAGATTGAATTACAATCAGATAAGAAATGATTTGTAACATTGATTGCACCAGCTTCATTCTACCCTACATCTTTTTGAAAAAAGTGTCGAAAATTGGCGCTGTTCAGCTTGGGAGGGGCATTTTGCACGTCGCTAGTTCCTTTTACCATTTCATGTTAATTCACAGTTTACATCTTGCTG